CAGGATTTGTCATCCTTACGTCGTATTTCAGTACGCGAGTCACACCTATCTTCTTCTGTCGGAGTATTCTTCCTACTTTCATGTGTATTGTGCTTTGTGTTGTGTCTTCCTCCTGTGACTGCGTGTGTATGAGTATAACACACGCATTCACAGGAGTAAGACACAACACAAAGCACAATACACATGAAAGTAGGAAGAATACTCTGACAGAAGAAGATAGGTGTGACTCGCGTACTGAAATACAACATAAGGATGACAAATCCTGAACAGTTTTAACATTTTTAATATTTAAAATTTAGCAATATATATGACGAATATATATTTTAGCTATTTTAGTGTAAAGACAACAGGCCATGCAATGCAGTAGTTCGACGTACATCGAAAAGCACCTGAAGATGGCACTTTAGTGCCAAAACATGTAGTGCAAGAGAGAAGAGAAAGGTGAGTAAATGTATGCACTGTAAGACGGTCAGAATAAATCATGGACATAAATCAGTGCAACAGGACGCTAAAATATGACATATCATGGTTCTTATAAATGTGACTTGATCTCTGTCTTCCACTTCAACACTATACCTACCACGAGACAAACAAACAGACATTATGTATTTTCAGACTTTCCTGTTACTTCTACAACAGACTGAGACATCACACATCCAAACAAATTAATAATTGTCAGGGTCCATCAAGTGCGACAATTTAATATTAAAAAAAACTTTACCTTGAGGGGTTCCTTTGATGCAGTGTGAATGGTGATGATGATACATGACACAAAAATACTTTCATTTTACAGATTGTAACTACTAATCAGGGGCACATGATAGCATAGTTGATTGAGGCACTATGCTACAAGCTGGAAGGTCACAGATTCAAGTCCCGATGAGGTGGATTCTTTTCAATTTACCTAATCCTTCCAGCCACACTATGGCCCTGGGGTCAACTCAGCTTCTAAGATAAATAAATACAAGTAATCTTTCTGGCGGGTAAAGGGTGGTCAGCACATAGGGCTGACAACCTTACCACCATCTGTGAGCTGACTGTCTAGAGAAAATATGGGAGCCTCGACATCTCACAAACCTGTAGGCCTTGACAGCCTGATACAGGGCTTTTACCTACTAATCAATAAAAAATGCAAGAAAGAACAAATATGCTTACTTTTTATAGCTAATTCTATGAAAATAAACAGCCTAAAGAATTTACGATATTAGCCACAGGATGCACTGTGAGATAAATGTATCACTAAAAGACTGAACACAAAAACAAACATTATTTACTTTCACGAAAAAGCATGAGCCATTTATCTGGCGTATGTGATTCAATGAATATGCTATAACAGCTATATTTACATAGTACATCGAGTCCTTTGTGTCATTAACAATAGGGAAGACATTCCTTCCCTATTGTTAATGACACTTTAACAAAGATTATACCAGATTCATCCTCTGTGCTAATGCTGTTTGCTGCTGACAGCAAATCTAGCATTTTTCCATAAAAATCTTGATAATAAATTAATCATTACTACAAAATACTGTAAATGCCCTATCACATTTGATCTCTTACTAGCTACTACTTTACCAGGCCCATGTTCCCATAACACCAACTTATAAGTGCAACAAAGTTCACAGTGCATCACAAAGACACATTTTACATTAATGGATTTTGTGTTTGTGATTATAGTCTGTTGTTACTGGTAAGAAAGGTAAAGTTTTCATTGCATTTAGGTAATTATCTGACACACCATCTTCTTCAGGGGGTGAAGGGCTGCGGCACGTAAGGCTGACAACTTTACTGCCATCTGTGAGCCGAATGTCTAGAGATAATGTGGGAACCTTAACATCTCACAACCCTATGGGCCTTCATGGTCTGTTACCTTGGTGAAGGCCACATTCTCCACCCAAGATTTTGGGTAGGGTGAAAGCTTCATTCTATGCACAGAGGAAGCTAGACCCAGGACCGACTAGGAATCAGACCCTGGATCCTCCGAAAGACTGTCCGGTGTCTTACACCAAAAAACTTCATGGTCTGTTACAGGGATACCTTTACCATTTTACCATGAAGATGTACATGAGAGTGGAGGTATGGCTCTACTATTCTCAGCCTTGTCACTAGATGGAGGTGGGTAGTCAGCATCACACTCCAGCCACTTTACCTCTGGCGAAATAGCTCCTAGTACACACTGGAAAGGAGGCTGGGTGGCACCCATAGCAAAGAGAAAAATCTCTGGCCTCTTCCAAGAATCAATCCTTGATTTCTGAGTCATCCAGCCATAGCCTAGTTACTATACTAAGCTATTTTTATTGTTCCCTTCAAAAAATTTAACATGAACGAAGTTTAATTCTTCTTGAATCATATTTGTAGTTACTTCCTGAACCCTCATCTTTGTCCCTCGGAATTACTGGGTTTCTGAACTTCCTCCATTGCCTGGTATTCTAAAAACTTGAGAACACAATGTTTAAGAAACTGGATCTGTTTCTGTCCTCAAGGGGGTGGGAAACACCTACTCTATCAGGTCCTAAAACCCAGTGACTGTGTTATACACCACTGTCAGAACCATCTAGAATCTACCTCATCTTTGTGTTTAAATTTTCAAACTTGTGTACTGATTTATTACTGACTGTAGTAATTATCGTCGACTAGCACTGCTATAAACTTCATACAAAATTTTACCCAATATTCTTCTCTCAAGGTTAAGTCCATACACAGATGAAATTATTAGGGATCATCAGTGTGGGTTTCAACATAACAGATCAACTATTGTCCATATTTTTTGCATTCATCAGGTACTGAAGAAAAAATTGGATAACAATGAGACAGTATATCAGCTATTCATAGACTTCAAGAAAGCCTATGATTCAGTTAGGAGGGAAGTATTGTACAATATGCTGATAGAGTTTGGGGTACCCATGAAACTAGTTAGGATGATTAAAATGTGTTTAAATTAAACATAAGGTAAAGTCTGTATAGGTACACATTTGTCTGATAATTTTCCTATCCAGAATAGTCTAAAACAAAGACATGCTTTATTGCCACTGCTTTTCAACTTTGCTTTAAAATATGCCATTAGGAAGGTCCAGGAAAACCAGGTGGGACTGAAATTAAACGGGACACATCAGCTCTTGGTCTATGCTGATGTGAATCTACTTGGTGATAATATAGATACCATAAAGAGAAACACACAAACTTTAATTGATACAAGTAAGGAGGTTCGTCTAGAAGTAAAGACAGAGAAAACTAAGTCCATGTTGCTGGCTCATCACAAGAATGCAGGGGAAAACCATGACATAAAGATAGGTAACAGATGTTTGAAAATGTGGCACAGTTCAGATATTTGGGAATGACTATAACAAATCAAAACCTGATTCATGAGGAAATTGAGTGGAGACTGAATTCAGGGAATGCTTGCTACCGTTCAGTCCAGAAACGTTTGCCTTCTTGTCTACTGTCTAAAAACATAAAAATTAAAATATACAAAACTATAAATTTGCCTGTGGTTCTGTATGGGTGTCAAACTTGGTCTCTGACACTAAGTGGGGAACACAGACTGAGGGTGTTTGAGAACAGGGTGTTGAGGAGAATATTTGGACTGAAGAGAGATGAAGTGACAGGCAGTTTGTCACCTGGGCCAGTTTTTTATGGAATCAAGTGACTACTATGATGCCACCATACACAAAGTCCTACATGTCATTTGAAGTGTAGGATTAATAAAGGGTTAATCAAAAGGGGAAGCACACTAGATCATTAAAGGTCTGCATGGGTCAGATTATTATGGCTCACCCCTCATACATGCATTCATTCATTTCATTTAGACAATGGTCTTTCTATGGCACAGAATTCAATAATGCATGCGCCTATTAGCAGATCCAAAGTTTGGTTACTTGTTTGGTGCTTGTGAAAGGTCTTTGTTATAATGTACTCTCAACATGCTTAGGTCTTCAGAGGATTTCTGAGTACATACTGCCTTATCATTCTAACAAATGCTATAGAGTACATTCTGACTGAAGGCAGAGTATGGGACATGTGCCTCATATATCTAGATTTCAGGCCATATTTTGATAACACACTACTACTCTCGGTATTGCATTATTCTCTACAAAATAACCTTAAATTTCATGCAAAATGACTGCAAGTAAACAGATACTAATGTAAACAATTTATATTATACCATAAAGAACACCTTCATTGTAGCTTCATGATATAAAATGGTTTCTTGCCTTCGGAATGAAACTTCCATCTCTATATATTCCAATGATGTAACATTAAATTTAATGCACACATCTCTATATACTGCAGTTCTGTATAAAAAAAATACAATCCTAACCACAGGATGAAACGGTATGACAACGCTCTTAACTCATGAAAACACAAGATAAATCAAGTGACACAGTAGATGTGTAACATGCGAAAATTATAATTTGCCATCCAGTTCAGAGACAAAAAATATCCTTGTCCTCCATTCACTAAATGCGTGACAAAAAATTTACTTTGCAAATAAAACATTCAGTATTCACATCCCTCAGACAAGTGTCCAGTTTATACTATATTCAGTTTGTTTAATACAAATTTCGTGTTCTGATAATAATGCACTGTCAATACTCAAAATATTTATGGACTTTGGCATTAGTTTATGAAGAAACACTATTCAGTTTTTGTAAAATCTATATTTATGTTCCCTCAAAAAATATCATCTATACTACAATTAATACTGCCTTCATCGCGGTCCCTGTATTTCAATTGCGGAACGGACCGTTCGCCGAGTCTCGTAACACAGGTTGACTGACCTATGTTTGACAGCTACAAGAACAGAACGCAAGCTCTGCTTACAGACCTAAACTACACATCTTAAATAACTGATATGTAACATAGAAGTTCTTAGAGAGAGCTCAGGACTAACTGGTCAGCAGCATCTAATGGCACCACGATTAGTAGGTAGCAAAAGTCGTAAGGCGTTATCACAATACAAGACCAATGCTGAGAAAATTAACGTTAACATCTAAACTTACCTCATTTCCAGTCAATCCTAAAATATCTACACAACAGTTAAACACGAAATCAGATCATTCGTGTCAATTTCACTCAGTCTGGCTCACTTCTATATACAGCACAGAATTACGAAACGGCAATATACACCTCAAACTTGGAGCAGACATTTGTTCCACCCTACACGACCCCTAACGCCATCTTGCTCTGTGAGCTACAGCAACAGAAATAATTTTCATTGGTTTAAACGCTTCTTTGTGTACATACGAAGTCAAGTCCATATTATAAAAGTTCTTCTTTTATAGACCCCTTAAAACAACTTCTAAAATTATCTTCTTAAAGTACTTAAATTTTTAAGTCACACAGCTAATAACGTAGAGTTTTCCATTATTACATTGAAAGCAGTCACTATAAACCCAATCCGATACCCGCCAAACATCATCAATCATTATCCTTTGCGTGATCCGTGTTAAGGTGTTATTCGTTCCTCGGAAAGTCGGAAACGTTCAGTGAGCATACATTACATAGACGACGCATAACAGCGTCACATCCCAGAAACATGAACTCTTTGTACGCCTGAACTCGCCTGAATCGTAAGTAAATAGTGATGATAGTGAACACGGTTAAGTGCGGGGTGCGGACTAAGGAATTGAGAAGAAAAGGAGTGAAATCCGTAGTAATGATGGTAATGAATGAGATGGTTATCGTGTTCCGTGTTATTATGCGTAATATTAGTGATCCGTTCATAAAATTCAAGTGGAGCTGCAGGTATACATAGTTATACTAAGTTCTTCCAAGGAATTCTTAGGTCCTAGTCCTAGGCCAGTTTCCATCCAAGTGCAATCACACATTTCCAACCAGTCCAATAATATGTTGGTAAGGACCATATTGTTTGAGATTTCTTGTAAAGTTATGATCTTAAAATATTCCAGGAATCATCAAGTGATGAGATTTCCAGAGTCCACTCACAGTATCAGAATTGCAAAAGATTGCTGTTGAAATGACAAAATCATCCACCTTGTTCTCCCTAACCTGTTAGAATCACACACTTTTAAAGCAGTTACAACAGAATACTAAAAGATGGCGAAACTTCAGAAGAACATTCTTACGTAGCGAACTGAGAATACGTATTCTAATTGTGTGAATGTCCTGTATTTATTCAGCACACAAATTTGGTGACAGGTTAGATCAGGTTTGCTTGGTTTAGTTTTCAATATATTATGTCTGCAACAAACTATGCTGTGCCATTACCCAACACATAAGAAGAAACACAAGAAAAAACAACTTTCAAGTTGTTACATTCCTCTTTATTCGAAAATTACTACCATTGCAAAGTTAACACTGAATTTGCTAAGATCAATATGCATGATATTCACATGAAGAGTGCATACACTGGCAACTATATCTTTCCAAAATATTAATTACCTACGACACTACCCTAAAATCTGTTCCATTATTGGATGTTATAATTTTTTTGTGAAGCATTATTTTGAGGATAAAATGAATTTATGGCACAGACTCACCTGCTGCTTTCTCCAAAGAGTATGTACTCCTACCTAAAAGGTTATTTATATACATATTATTTGTTTCAGGTTATTGTCAGAAGTGTTTGAAATCAGCTGAATGTAGAAAAAAAGCTGGAGTATTTTTGACAGCAATATTAAACTCAATAATGGCCATGCTTGTGGTAAAGAAAGAGCGTTTACTTATAACATGTGGTTTAAAAGCAATTACATGCAATATTGGAGAAGAAACTTGTTTTCAGTTATTGGACATTTCAAACATTAGTAAGTGCTCAACCAAAACTGCCAATTGTGATCGAGATAAAGAAGCAGCAGCAATTAATGAAGCACATGTAGTGGCTGCAGACATTTCAAGCTGTGAAAAATATGTTGTCCTCTGTACAAGTGATAAACATCTGAGTTTATGGGAGACAGATAATTTGTCTGTGATAAGTAATCGAACTTCGGCCCGTATTGCAAGTAAGGTTAGATTTGTGCCATCAGGTAGAGCCATTGTTTTGGCAGATAAATCTGGGGATGCATATCGTTTTTCAGTTGAGAAACCTCATGAGGATGGGGAATTACTTCTGGGACATATTTCATTGTTACTAGACATACTGGTCACAGCAGACGAGAGGTACATAATAACTTGTGACCGTGATGAAAAAATAAGGGTGTCAAGATACCCAAATGCCTACAACATTCAATCATATTGTCTTGGCCACAGTGAATTTGTTACAGGATTGTCTCTTCTTCCAACTGATGAGACTGTTCTTATGTCTAGTTCAGGAGATGGTACCATAAGGTTGTGGGATTATGCAGCTGGTATAGAGTTGTATGTAGTGGACTGTAATGGTGCTGTACCTACAAAAGACATCGTAGAAGACAATCAGACAGACAATGGAGGATGCGTACTGCCAGTTAGACTTATCACTACTTGCAGCCTAGACACCACCACTTCATTATTATGCACCTGTGTATCAAAATTCCAAGGATGCCTTGTGTATCATGTTAGAGGTCATTCAAACAATATCACCGCAGATTTAATGCAAGTTCTGCAGTTGCAAGCAGAACCATGGGATATTTCACTCACCTCACAAATGAAACTGTTGGTTTTAGGACCTGTTGATAGAAAGCCCCTTTGTGTATTTGTGTGGGACTGTAAGATTTGTCAGTTTGTGGCTTGCAGTGACATGTCAGTTGCCATACAGGTCAACAGTAGGTGGGATCTGTTTCAAAGTATTGCTCCAGCAGTACTTCTACCACTGCTTTACAAGCGCAAGTTTGACAACGTCCAGGTTTGTCAAGAGAGAAAGAAGCAGAGATTAGCAGCCATTCTTGCATCATGTTCAGACACACCAGCAAAGTAGGTCTCATGTAGTGATCCTCATCTAAGATTTCTTTGTGCATCAGTGGATTTGGACACTAAACTGAAAAATGTCACAGCTGGAGGAAAGTCAACACTGACATATTTGTGAGTCCCACTCTATTCTGACACTTGTCATTTTCATTGAATGATGTCTTGTAGTAGTTGTGTATTGCTTGGGAGTGACAATTTAAAAAAAAAAAAAGACTGCCCAAAGCTAATTTTTCATCAGTTTATAGAGAGGTGCATCTTCAGAGAAGGATGTTGCTCCTCTAACAAAATTTATACTGACATTTACCAGACAAAATGTCTGTCTGAAACTCTTTTATTAACAGATGTAATGTTAATTAGGTACTATGAAAACAGTTTTAACTAGATGTTGAGTCTGAAAACACCATCTGACAATAATATACCATTGAGTAAGTCCAGTATATTGAAAGTTTGTTTTTTGTTATTTGGTATGTTCTGATTTGAGTATTTGTGCGCACAATAACTTCAAACCAGAATAATTTACTTTTTCAGAACTCAGTTGTATTCTTTGTTTTTCTTTAATTTTGTTGGGAATAAATATGTTTATTCATTATATTTTGTTGTGATCATCCTTATGTACAGTATTAAAATTGTAATGTATTCCTGACTACTTTTCATGTATGTACAAACTCTTTTTCATATTAATTTAAATCAATGGCACTTGAAAAGGGGCTGTAAAAGAATTCTTTTACTGTTGTTTATTATATTGTATTCCAAAAATACATGGCCTTTCAGAATTCATTAGGAGTCTTGGAGGGGGGGGGGAAGCATAAATAAATGTGAGTCACGTATGCTGCTTATCAGTGTCCTAGTATTGCTTTTAAGAATAACTCAGATCAACATATCATGTTTTTATGCTGTAACACTGTTTCTACAAATGGAGTCCACTCCCTTAATTCTATATACAGTGCCTTCTGCTAATGTAGGATGGGCCAGCCTTGGAATTAGGAGTACATGTAGGACAAAGTTTGGAGATTGTGCTTTTTAAAAAACAGGACAGAAAAAATAAAACGTGTATACTATGTACGGGTATAAATTTGCACTGTGTACCTGCAAGACATTTGCCAAATTTAATGCACAAATGTCTTTTTTGTCCCGACAGAACATAATCAAATGCAGATAGTTCAGATTAATGTAAGAGATATAAAACTGTTTATATGGGTAAGTATCATCCCACAAAGGTAGAAAGTGGAAGCATTGGTAGAGTTCCAACCATGAAACTTATGTACACTACATAAAGGTTAGTGATTAGCTTCATGCTCCAAATCTAAACATATGCAAAAATATTTATTTCTATTAGTACATCTGTCAACATGTCAGTGAAGTGTCAATATGCCAAATATTTTTAAGTGGTCACTCTACTCTCATAACATACAAACTATTCAGTAGCATAATACTTCAAAACACTGCATGAAGAAAGCAGACATACATGATCTTGGTCTTCTTGAAATCTCTTATGGCATGTATACAACTTTGTGTTGAGTGAGACCCTGTGATGGAGTATTAAAAATAGATTAATTTGGAATCAATGCTGGGTCAGAACTGGCTATGTGGGCTGTTTCATAAAGGTTGAAGAAAATACATAGAACTAGTTAGAAACCATGATATTGTATATTGTAGGCAGTCACTAAAATCATACAGCTCTCCCCTGCCATTTGGCGATGTGAAATTTTCCCCACACAACAAGGTACTTACAGGTTAACATGAGCTAGTGGAACCTAACGTCATGGCCAAATGGACAGTATCCCTGCTTCATTTTCAGGTTTCAGATTCAAATCTCGGCCCAGAGACAGTTGTTTCTAAGGATTCTTTTGTTTTTAATCGGTCCCTGTAGGCAAATTCTGCAATAATGCCTAAGAGTAGGTCACAACAGCTTCCTCCCACGTTCTTTCTAATTCATTATTCACTACATACACAGCTACTGATATCATCATTAAGTAAGCCATATATGAATGGGAGAATGGACCATGGTGAAGGCCACACATTCTCCACCAAAGATTTTGGGAAGGGTGAAGGCTTCTTTCTATGCTGAGAGGAAGCTGGACCCAGGGCTGACCACAAATCAGACCCTGGATCCTCTGAAAGAGTCTGGTGTCTTACACCAAAAGACACCAATCTCCTAAATTAAGATATTAAACATAAATATCAAATCATCTGAAGTGACATATAAGACGCTTTATTCTTCATACTCTGAGGAAGGCAATACATTTTATCTTGAAGGGTTTTCTATAGCACCCACTATACTGGTTTGTAATCCAACTTTGACTCCAGCTTCTTATTATCAGCAACCTTGCGTACCGCCTTCATAAAGTCTTCTTGGATAACGTACTCTCGTTCTGCACGAATTGCAAACAAACCAGCTTCTGTGCAAACATTGCGCAGATCTGCTCCATTAAAACCATCAGATAACTTCACTACTGCTTCATAATCTGCAACATAAATAATTCTAGTAAAAGTACAGTAAATTAACATCTCTGAATAATAAAGTCCATGGCAAGTCTTCCTTAAACAGCAAATAAGATATTCAGGTGAAGAAAGCAGTCTTCTGGGATGTGGCACTGTGTAGATGTGATGTTAACCGACGTTTCGGAGGAACGTATCGCCTCCATCTTCAGGGTAGAAGGAAACATAAATAATCCGCAAGTGAAGAGACCGTGAGAACTGGTACAAGCAGTCTGCACTAAGTTGTAAATGTCTCATATTAACAACAGTAAGGTAGTGCTTATTGTTACTTTTATTAAGGAAAATCCATAACTAAATATATCTTAACCATGTTTCATTACTGTGACCACCAGCTATTAACCCTTTCGCGCGGTGATTTAAATTCCGCGGCCGTCTCTCCAGCGGTAATATATTCAGCCGGCCATTTAAATTGTGCTCGAAAATGATTTATTCATCATTGTTCTTAAATTATATGAGATAGGAACATGAAACTTTCACTAAAATGATCTTAAAAGGTGGTTTTATAACCTTACCTTATAATATGAGCGCCCTGTATCTCGGCAATGGAAGCAGGTTGTTTAGTATTTGAGCAGTGAATGGTACACCTTGAAGCATGAAACTTTCACTAAAATGATCTTAAAAGATGGTTTTATAACCTTGCCTTAT